ACACTTCGGGACAGACAATCCAAATCCCTTTACTTTAACTACATTAGTTAAATAGTCCGTATCGATTGCAAATGGCATGACTTAACAGAGGCGATGGTTCGTATTTATCGGTTCAATGAATTTCAACGAATACCCATGCAATCTACGTACTGAATGATTCTAATACGTCGAAAAATTCAGCGAAAAATTATTTTTCCGCTATTAAATCGAGAATCGGCGTATTTTCAGCGCATGACGACACAGAAAAGCAAAATCTTTTTAAAAGCTCAATATATATCAATAATGGTAAACCTACTAAAGTTATAAATAGTACCACAAGAGATTTTATCACCACAATGTGAATTATCAGGCTACTTTTTAGACTTATAGCCTTTATGAAAATATACGTCTAATGGTTATTTCAGAAATCGGTTGATTTGTAGACCGGAGCCAAAGTTACAAGGCATTCTTCCAACACCACGTGGCTCAAAGCGTCGTTGAATCTCCCTATGTGGCTCACAAGGTATAGAAATTGTTCTTAAGATTTTATATCGTGGTCGGAGTCTTTGCATTTTTACCGACTCCACCTAAAATCTCTTCCGACTGTGACTCCGCAGACACGGTGTGATGATGAATTTATATTAGAACTACGTTTGTTCGTATCGATATCAGTTTATCATTCGTGAATGAAGTACATTTATGTTAGGTTGGTTCAAAATGCTGTCTCGTGGTCATATCAACAGTTGGATCCTTAATTATTTATTACATTTGTAGTTTAGATGCGTCATGTTTGTGTTGAAATTCAGTATATATTTATTTATTATTCTTAATGACGCTGTCGGTAACTAACATTATAGTATAGTAAAATTTTGAATAATTATACTTCAGTATTATATAATTTTTAGCATCTAGTGGTACGAATTTATTATGGAAAACTGATAAAGTTTTTTTTGAAAGTTATTAAGTGGTAATAACAACTTAACCTCATGGCAGTCTCTGAGGAGAGAGGTTTAGCTGTTAAATGCATAAGGATATTTTATTTCATATTTACGATAAGTCTTAATTAGGGTTTGTACATCGGATTCTTGTAGTTGGAAAGCTAATCCCTTTTTTATTAAGAGTTCCTCTCAGTACAAGACCTAAAATTTGAATTTGGCTTCCTGTGGTTAACGAAATAAATCCTCTAGTACTGGATAGTCAAGACAGTGTAGGAAGAAGTGTGAGTGAGTATAATTACTCCAGTCTGAGAGTTAATCACACACATATACACACATAAACTCCGTGTGCTTTAAAATTACTGTAAATTTGCCGCCAGGAACTTCTCTCTTTTAATCAGCAATTTATTTAGGTACTGTCTCCTCTAACGAAGAGCTTTGTACTTCTCAGTAAATGTTTAGATTTTTCGTGCAGTGTTACTTACTAAAAATATATTTTATGATCATTCATTTATATACGAGGCTCGTCCACAAAGTAAGTTTCCCTGGGGCCGTTTACAGAAACAAAACACAATTTCATGGAAATATTTATTGCAACAGATACAGCAAGTGTCCAGCTATTTTTCAACATATTCGCCACCGGAATTGAGACATTGGTCATACCGTGGGACCAACTTTTGAATACCTGGGTCGTAGAAGTCTGCCGCCTGGGATTGGAACCACTGTGTGACAGCCATCTCCGCCTCTCTGTCATTCTCAAAACGCTGACGCTGACGCTGACCGGACAGGAATTTCTTGAGGTGTAGGAAAAGATGGAAATCACTGGGAGCGAGGTCCGGGCTGTAGGGTGGATGATTAAACACCTCCCAGCTGAACTCCTGCAGGAGACTTGCTGTCCGTCGAGCCGTGTGCGGCCTAGCGTTATCACTGACCGCACTTCACAGTCGGCGGGAGCTGGAATAAGAACCTCCATCTTCAACAGCTGCAACGATGCTACTGTGAGAACGCGGGAAGTGCCGTTAGTGCATGTGCCATGCTACGTCATTGATCTATCACGTACGCACAGTCGCTTCGCGCAATATAAGGTTTGCTAGCTGTGCGACGAGTGGGAAACTTACTTTGTGGACGCGCCTCGTACATCAAGAAAGTATACGGACGAACGTCCTGAAACAGTGGTTAGCATACCTTAGATCCCGGGTTCAAATCCCGATGGAAGTTTATGTGGTTTTACTCAATCCCCCAAGGTAAATTCCACGGTATCATCTTAAATTAGGCCACGACCTTTTCGAATTTTTCACGATTGTATTACGGGAAAATGAAGTGGATTGCTAAAGAATATTGGCTAGAGAAGGGAAGGGACGAAGATACGTGATGGGTAATTTTCCGCTGAATTTCGACAGGAATTTACAACTATTTTGGCAATGAATACAAGTGATTACTTTGCCTTATATTTCATTCTACACAATTCATTACCGAATTCAAACATTCGAATAAATCCCATCTAGGAAATCTAATCGGAATAAAACGCTGGCCTGTAATTAATGTATTCACTCTCTCTCTAAGTATGAACGAACGCGTGTCCCCAAGGGATGTCATGATGGTTTTCCCAAATCCTATCCACGGTATTTGTCATATTTCGAACTATATTATGATAGCGGGAACGTCAAATCACTGTTTAAATCTGCATAACTGGAGGAAATTAACACACAATAATCCATATTAAAACTAATGTAACAGCGATTAACTCTGATTTAATGGTGAAATACAATAGTGATTGGGACATTTGGAAACACGTAGTAAATTTGTTACGAAACGAATCTTACGAACTGGAGCCAAAAAACTGTTCCATCAAATTTTACAGGGTATTGTAACCTTTCTGGGAATTTAAGAAAGTCGAACTCAGATATATTTTTGACAGTCAATTTAATATTCATCTTGACTGTCGCTCCACGTCGACTTTTGGCTGCTTGAGAGGTTATAAGATGGTGGTTTCACCATGCACGGGCGTGCAGTGTGAAGTCGGCACAACTTTTGGTTGCATGAGAGGGTATAAGATGGTGGTTTCACCAGGCACGGGCGTGCAGTGTGAAGTCGGCACGAAAGATAAATAATATGGATGGTTAAAATGTTATCAACATAATTATAGTTTTAGGACATAACAATAATATGAAAATTATGTAAGAGGTGTAATTCCTGAAGATGTCCAAAACCGAAGCGAAACATATTGGTTGAAAGGATATAAATATTATTTGTAAGTGTATGATGCTTGTAATAAAATGTTTTCGTGTTGACACAAAACAGTGTTCATACGCAAATGTAGAAAATATGGTAACAAATTTGCGGACGGAATCAGATTGTATTTATAATATTATGTGTCCCGCGATTATTCGATATTCCCTTCAATCTATCCGTTTATTAAATTATTCATCCAGATTTTATTCTACCGTAATTTTTATTTCAAGGATTTTCAGGAGTTTGAAATCGCTAAGATACGTCACAGGCGAGTACTTAGTACTGAATTGTATTCGAAATGTCCAAATTTCAAATCTCAGACCGGAGACTGGCTATCCCAACAAACATTTCATGATTTTCTTCAGTCTCTTCAAAACAAATTTGGTAAATTAGCTTAAATTAAGCCACGACCGAAAATGGTTCCCGTTCTTAAGGACGAAGGCACGAGGGCTTACTAGGTTAAAATTCCACATTTACTCCGAAGATGAGCCCAGATGTCCATTACTATGGGCTCGGTTGTCAAATACGAAAATCAAAGGGGTTGTCACACAGCGCCGCAAGCGGGAATGTACAGAATTACGAGGAAAGACGTCATATCCAAGGAATTTTTCCTTATTAATCTTATACTTTATCAGACGAGGAGTACGAAAGTGGCTGACATGGGATTCAGAACACCCATCACAAACGAAACGAAGTAGAAATCGAATTCTGTGTCGTTTTATCTGCTCCGAAGATCGAAAGTGAGGGGGGACTCGAAAAATGATTCCGAAATTGACTCCAGGCATGAGATAGAATAGTATTCTACTATGGCTTCATATATCTGGACAGTCATTTCTCCATTCACGGTGTAGACGAGTAAGTAATGAGGTAATCTTTTATAACAGCGTTTATTTATAGTTTTACGTTTAAATTACACTGTCTCTTAACTGCATAAACCATTTTTTAAAGTTAGAACACATAGCTATTTGTACATTCTTCAGCACTTTTGAAAGGAAATATTTTGTCTTCCCGTCTGATTTCTAAGAACCTGAAAA